TTGAACCAGTCTTAGTCGGAAAGGACGGGAGATCACTTCGCCCACTGCCTCATCGCCTTTGATAATGTCCACCGCAGTTGTGGACGAAACGTCAGAAAGAAATTCCCATGAAAATCATTTCTATATGTGATTTGACCGGCCGTGAAAGCCTTCATAGTCTAATTAAGAAAACATGTCTGGATCACCTGCTATCATGAGTGATTGGTCTTTTTTTTAGAGAGATTTATACGCTGGATTTTAATCGCACTCGCTGTGAATTTGTTTCTTTATAAGACTCGGGTGATCATAAAGCAACCGAGTTCATTCGCATTGGGCAAGTGGTGAATTATTGAGTGTATTGATACAAAAACTATCAGAACTTTTCATTTGCTAGCTGGAATCAACTGATTTTTTTGATTTGATGTAGAACCCTTTCCGGCCCTTTTTTGGACTTTTTGTAAAGTCCATCCAAATTGCCTTCATCAGAAATCATCACGAAAAGATGAAGCCAGTTTTTAAAAAAATATTGTCGGTAGACTGTTTGTCAACGAGAAACAATGTATGATTTTGGACTTATTTGTTGCACAAGTATTCGCAAAACTTACCTCAATTTACTCGCATATGTATCGACGCACGTCCTCATATTATTGAGCAATGAACTAACCGAGAGTTCGCTGCATTCGGAATTTTGCGGTAACAACAGCTTGGCTAGCTGCTTAATGAGAGCCAAAGCTCTAAGAACTTTCAACACGGCCTTATAGAGCGGTATGTGTCTAGCCATGTCTAATACTGAATCATTTCTTAGATAGGAACTAATGGCTGGGAGCAAAGCGCTGAAAAATTAGTTAAACAAACTGTAAAAACAACAAGTTTGCACAGCCTTTTAGTTTACCTTTTGGCTAACATCTCGGGAAACTGAGGCGGTAGAACATATCCGACCAGTTCTTCACCAGCTTCATCATTGGGGTTGATATAACTTGCCAATACATCCAATAAGACTGTCACATGCTCCTCTTCAGTTTTCTGTTTCATTAGGGCTTGCTCAACGTTCCAGCTTTGTTGGGTGGATCCAGTTCCGAATCCCGTACCTTTAATCACAAACAGAAAATCGCATTACTCATTTAAATTCAAATTCAGTTTACAGTCCCCACCTTTCGCCCAGTAAAGCTGGCGTTCTTCCTTCGTTTTCTGATTCTTAACGGAGTCCTTCTCATGATTGGTTGAGGAGTGATGCGTCAGCAGTCCCAGGCAAGACAGAATTAGCTGCACAGCTCCACTACTAATACTGATTCTTCGTAGAAGTCGGCCATCGTCGGAACACAAAGGGGATACGTCGTAAAGCTGGCGTAACACTTCAAATGGAAAGGTTGCCAAAGATGAGGCCACGGCCCACTGCAACATGTCTCGACCTAAACAAAACAAACAGTCGAAAAGTTAGACATTCGTCCAAAGCCCTGGCCAGTCTACCTTCTCCGTCGTCAGTAACGCCCAACATAAGTCTTAACAGACAAATCGCCTTTTTGGTGTCTTTTAGTAGCACGTCTGCATATCCAGGCAGTCGCAAAAACAAACTGAACGCAGTTAGGGAATGTGGAGGAATTTGCGAGATTGTTCCCGTCGAACTGGGCGATGCAGAGTTACTCATCACCTCTTCGATATCCTCGTATAGATCATCGGCATCTGAGAAAGTTGAGCACAGTAAAAATCATGAGTGACTCAGTGAGAGCTCAGCGCATACCTTCTAGCTTAATCCATTCGGATTCGGAGAAATCAGGCATCGTCTTTTCAGGATTTGCAACTCTGATCGCCTCAGGATATACTGTAGGTAAGTGCTGAGCTAAAAGAGCCAAGCCACCAATAGAGCTGAATGCCAGCAATGCGTTGCAAATGGGGTGCTGTTGTTGGACCATATAAATCGCTTCCTTGGTCTGATGTTTGCGTTCATCACCTACGAAATTGAGCCATAACAGACACGATTACAATAGCGAAAAATCGCACACTTACTTGTGCTCTCACTAACTGTGAGATGAAGAAATGGCCAGTTGTTCGTGATGTTTTTCGATTCGATGAGTAGCAGCAGTTGCCCCAAATTCAAGCTCAACGGAAGCGGTTCGCCGGGAAAAGCTTGACATGAGATGCATCGCCCCTCGATTATATCGTAGACCAGAGTCTCTGACGCGTAGCGCTTCTTCTTCGATTGGGGTGTGACAGCAGCAAGATTCTTAATGTCTTTAGCACGTTTGTCTTTAGCAGTATTTCCCGCGGCCATGCTTAACACTCCAAACTCCGCCACATAAAAGTCTTTGAGATGCGAGGTGTCTTTTTTTGATATGGTCGAAGACTTTTTGGACGATACCGATTCCGATTTGGAGGCGGACGCGTTGGGGGGGCACGAAATATATCCCTCCAAGATTTCGCCTAAACAGGTTGAAGTACTCATATACGACGTTCTGCGATGGTGTGTCTGTTTAAATGCCGGATGGACTGGAACGATCAGTTCAAAAATGTTGAAGTTTTGGTAGAGTGCAAAATTTGCTTCAATGATGACTGGCACTTTCTCGTTCTCCAGAAGCAACTGAAGTATAAGTCGGCGCAAAAAGCCAGAAATGTCGTTTTGCTGCAAGGATATCACTTCACATAGGACTGTCGCTAAACGAGCTTGATTCGTCGGATGACACAAACAGCATTTCGACAAAAACTTCACACAAATTTCTTCTAAATGTACGAGGGCCTCGGACTGCATATTGGCGCTGTTGAATGGATTCTTGCAGAGCCAATGTAAGAGCTGAGGCCAAAACGAAGATCCATCTGGGGATCCAAGCCAGTCTCTAAGCATCTTCTCATCACAGGCGTTAGTAAAGAACTGCAATATTGCGGCCACTTGCTCGAGTTTGGCCATCGGCACCGAACTGTCCTGGTCGTTCTTATTGCAAAATTCGTGAATGGCGTTATTCAACAGTTTCGGCAACCCTGAGTCTAACAGTTGCTGGATTGCGGTGGGTGACCTGCTAGCCAAAGCCACAGTCTCCAGTTGTTCTTGCGATAAATCCAATTCCGACAAATCCCGTATGATCAAATGACCATACCATTCGCAATTCGCGTAGTCTTCCTTGTGGTCATCCGTCATTCCTTCTGCATCTTTGCGATCATCGCTGATTGAGGCGGCTCGATCAGTGGACAGATTGGGCACAAGAACGCCGACTTTCTGCAGCAACAGCGGAAATAATTCGGAACGAATGTAGCACACGGAGCACAGAAGACAATCCAATGTATATTTTAAACTGTTGTTGGTGGTTCTCATTTTCAAATCGTAGATCGCATCAAACAGGTCCAGAGTTATAAGTTCCTTCAAGTCGTAGCCAATTTCGGCCTCTTTACTGAACCACAAGATGGATGCTATACTGGAAACGTACGTGGGGCTACAGTTTCTAGTATTCCCTGTTCGCAAGCATTCATCTGCGGTTGCTTTCAACCACTTTAGGACCATATCAACTCGATGGCCAGTATTGGCATCCTGAAAAAGC